AGTGGCTGTGGAAAAGGATTTTCATCCACTGCCATCTTCTTCTTATCATCGAACGTAATTCCTCCTGATTCAATGACATCCTGTAACACATGGCGAAAAATCAAGCAATTGTTAGTCAAATGTGACCATGCATTATGTCACTTACAATATTTTTTACCCTTAATTTGTTCAGGGTTTGGCAATTTATGCTTATCCCTCAGCTTTATCTGCTTATCCTTATATAATTTATCAAATATAAGGTCAGCTTTGGTTACATCGAACAAGAACGTTCTAGCTTTTATGTTTTCATCTTTCATAGGCTCATCCTTTGCCCGATGGTCGAGGTTTAGTCATTATAGGACAAGTATACATGTCTCCTTTGACTAATTCGGCCAAACACACTTCCGTCTGATCGTATGACTCGTTATTGATGGTTTGAACATCAAAATTTGGGTCTCTATAATAAGTTCCCTTGCTAGAATTTTTTGTCTGCTCTTCTTCTCTTATCAATCGTTCATACCTAATCACGTTCGTGCTCAATTGGAAAAGGTCAGGAAATTCCTTGTCTTGGAATTTCTTTTTCAAATCAAAGCTCAAACAACCTTGAGCGATTTTGACAAACTCTTTTTCGGGTAAAGATACAAAACATTTACTTCTTGCTGTCTTGAACCTTTGAAGGAAACCTTCTGCCCATTCGTTTGACATTTGACGTAGATTCGCCAAATAAGCCAAAGTGACTTCAGACTCAGTTTTATAAAACTGAGCGTGAAACAACTGTTCTAATTGTTGTCATGTTTGAACAGAGTTTGCTGGCAAGTTGATGAACCAGGAGAAAGCTACTCTTGTTAACGAATTAGGGAAAAGCCTCATTTTATGGTAATCGGTTACATCGCCACTTTGCAGTGTGAATCGCCTTATATGTTCTAGAGTAGACACCTCTCCTAAATCGGTAAATAGTGAGAATTCTGGCACTTTGTACCCTCTACACTTTATACCCTCTAGGCCATGGATATGCTTGGTCTACCCAATCAGGATATGGCTTTGTGTAAGTCGGCCTAATGACAGGACGTACCCCAAAAGCCATCTGATCCTGTACGATTTTCATAATTTGATTCTTCAACATGATGTTGGGGTCATATGGAATTCCTACGGGTTGGCTAACCGGTTGATTTGTTTGAGGCCTGATGTTTGGTCCTTGATTGGCAACAAAGTTACCATGATTTGAGCCATTGTTACCATTAGCCTGAACATTTATTTCCTCATTA